CACACATTTATATATACACACATATACATACATATATATATATCCTAAAATTTATCCTAAAAATAGACGCAAATGAGTCAATAGTTCATACTGTAAATCACTGTAGTCATACAGTAAGAGTATATAATGTTAAAAAATATATAAAAGTTATAAACTGAATGTAAAGCAGCTCAAATCATTGATCTTTGGAGACTTTGATGAGAAATGTTTGAGCTCATATTGAGATCTCTGACTTCTGATGCAGACTTTGGCATCTTGAGCACAGTTTGAGATTGTTTTTCTCATCCGAGAAGCAGGATTTTCTATTTGCTACGCGTTTTATCATTTAAACTGCTATTTAGGAGAAACCTCCGCGACATTAAACAGATCTATCAATCTGTGTCTCCTCACAAAAACACCTGACTCGGAGCATGCTGGTCCAATCACAGAGAGGCTGTGGGCAGCTGTCTGCTCCATCTGTCTGCTGTCGGTTCGAGTGCTGAGCGCCGGTGCTCTTTAACTCTGTGAGTCTGGCTGTGTGTTCACTGTCTGTCTCTCTCTCCCTCCGTCTGTCTCTCTCATGGCCTCCGAGCGCTCGTCCGCTGAGAGTCGCTCCTCGCACCTGAGCTCTGACCCGACCATCGGCACCGACGCTTCGGCCAACAGCATGTGGGAGGAGAGCTTCGACACAGAGAAGTAAGACTCACCCGCTTCACCTGCTTTTCTCTAACACCACACAACAACTCTGAACAATGTCTGGACAACTACTCACACTCACAGACGATTAGATCCAACACACCTGTCTATAATGAACAAATAAAGCCTTAATTAGTCGCTTCAGGTGCATTTAATTAGAAGCTCTCCAGAACCAGGAATGAAGAACTATGACAAAATATCAGTGTAAGAAAAGAAAGTGCAAAATTAATTTTTAATGCAAAACATTTAACAAAAAGATAATTGGGTAACACTTTATAATAAGGATCCATTAGTTAATTACATTAGCTAACATTAGTAATAACAAAAAAACATTAGTTAATGTTAATTTCAACATTTACCAATATATTAATACAATCAAAAGTTATATTTGTTCATATTATTTAATGCATGGGTCTGCACTAACAATGAACTGCTGTATTTTTAATAACTAGCATGAACTAATATTAATAAATACTATAACAAATGAATTAGTCATTGTTAATTAATGCATTGACTTATTGTAAAGTGTTACAGATATTTGTTAGGAAATTCTAAAACAAATATAATGCTAAAATAAAAGATGTATTTGGCCATTTTTTGGTTGCTAAAATTAAGTTTGAAGGTAAAGCAGTAACATTCAAATCTTAAATGTCGCTAATATAGTAAAATAGCAATGCATTCGTTTATTGGTGATTTTAGCAGTAACTGATCTCTCAGATGGTTCTCAGGTTTTTATTTTGAGAAAAAGACCCTATAGAAATCTTATCTTTGTCTCAAACATTTCTCATCAGATTCTCCACATTCATTTGATAGTTCTATACTCTAACTGTACGTCAACTACTGACCCATGTGTGTTTGTTCATTCCTCCTAAAGCATTATTTACCTCTCAGAGAAACATCTGAGACAAACCGAGTTTGAAAAGCCCATCCATGAGCATGAAATAATTCCTCCTGGTTTGTTTAACACATGCAGTCTTACATTTCTTTTGTCGCTTAATTAAAGATAAATAACCTGCAAGAAACCAGCGAGGGTTTCGCTTGTGCCTAAATGCTTAAAACCCCTAAATGAACTCAAAAACTATTTGAAAATCAAGCAAAAGCAACATGGATCACTTCCTGTTGATTAAAGCTTTAGATTGGATGGACAGTTGCTTAATCAGCATTATAAGCCCAATTGCTTAAAAGTAACAGGAAAAACTCACCTCAAGATCCGTATGATTTGATTTGACTTGAATTATTTATATCTGGAACACAAACAGTGCATGATGAGTTACACAATTAAGTTTAATACTTTAAACTTAATTAATAGTGATGCTTGACTTACACTACTGTTCAAAATGGTTGATGAGACTCACCAAGGCTGCATTTATTTGATCAAAAATACAGTAAAAATCAGCAAAATTTTGAAATATTTTTATAATTTAAAACAGCTGTTTTCTATGTGAATATCTGTTAAACTGTAATTTATTTCTGTGATGCGCAGCTGAATTTTCAGCATCATTACTCCAGTCTTCAGTGTCACATGATCTTCAGAAATCATTCTACACTGTAAAAAATTATTTTATTTTTCAGGATTCACAGATGAATAGAAAGTTCAAAAGAACAGCGTTTATTTGAAACAGAAATCTTTATATTGTTATAAATGTCTTTACTGTCACTTTTGATCAGTTTAATGCGTCCTTTGAGCCGAGAGCTGAATCCTTCACTCCCTCTGTCTTTCAGTCATGGTGTGAGCACTAAGAGAGATTACTCTCCCGTGTCCTGGAGCGAATACTTTGAAATGATGGACGACGTGGTCATCGGGTCAGGAGAGACTAAGGATATATCCTTCACACACTCACACACACGGCTCTTTGTGTGGATCAGAGATCACAGTTTGTGTGTGTATGGTAACAGATGTGTGTATGACTATATTCCTTGACTGAGGTGCGTGTGCACGTGTTCCGTGTGTATAAAAGCGGTCAGGACGGACCACTGCTGGTTCTGCTTCACGGAGGAGGGCATTCGGCTCTGTCCTGGGCCGTTTTTACGGTACAAACACACACATAAACTATATCTTGGTTTAGAACAGAGCCTGTATACGTCAGAATTGTCAACTTTCTTCTATTATTTATATTATATAAAGATAATTATGAATGTAAACAACCTATACCTAAAAGAAACCATAAATGTATAAGTGTATGACGTCACACAGAAACGTTCACTTTTAAGCAAGTAAATGCATCGGTGACTCTGAATAGGACGCAGCATTATTACTCACACCAGCAAAGCAGTGTACTATTAACAATTAGTTTTTGTTTTTATATTTTCTGTTTTTCAGTTTTTTCCCCGACATTTTAATTTCATTTAACATTTTAGTTTTTTGTTGTTTTTGTCATTTTCGTTAGTTATTTATTTTATATATTTTGAATTAGTTTTTACTTTGTATTTTCCATTTACATTTTAAATTTTGTTGTGTTTTTGACATTTTTATTAGTTATTGTTTTTTTATTTTGAATGAGATTATTTTTGCATTTTACATTTCCATTTTAATTTTAGTTAACATTTTAGTTGTGTTTTTGTCACTTTTATTTTTTAATATTTTTAATTAGTTTTTATTTTGTATTTTCCATTTTTATTTAAAAATTAGTTAATGTTTTAGTAGTTTTGTTGTGTGTTTTTGACATTTTTATTTGTTATTGTTTTTCAATATTTTGAATTAGTTTTATTTTTGCATTTTACGTTTTCATTTTAATTTTAGTTAACATTTTAGTAATTTTGTTATTTTTATCATTTTTGTAAGTTATTCTTTGAATTTTTTTTATCTTGTATTTGCCAATTTCATTTAAATTTTAACCTATTAGTAATCTTGTTGTTTGTTTGTAACATTTTTATTTATTTATTTGAATATTTTTCATATTTTAGTTAAAAATTTAGTAATTTTATTTAGTTTTTGTCTTTTTTATTAGTTACTGTTTTCCCCTATTTTTTGTCTATAGTCTTTATTAATTTTTTTATTTCAGTTTTAGTTATTTTAGTATAACTCAGGTTTTATTTATTTATATATGTATATTTCTTTCTTTTTTTTTCTCCAGTTTTCTCCAGAAATGTTTGGTAACATTTACTTTGAAGCCTTTATCTATAATGCATTATAAAGTTATGTATATTGTCATGCATTATATATTTTTAGAAATAATTGTATATTGCATTAAAATATTTGCAAAATCTTGGTTACATCTGAAATGTAGCTTTTTTCCTCCATGGGCTAAAAAAAAATAAAAAGTGACTTTTTATCTCAAAATATCTCAAAATGACAATAAAAAAGTCAGAGTTGCGAAATATAAACTTGCAATTGTGAGGGGGGGAAACAGAATTGTGATTTAAATAGTCACAATTACTTTTTTTAAACCATGGCAATAGATACTGTTTTTTTCTCATGTGTTATAATCTATTATACTTTCTCAAGGAGTAACTGAATAGTGTTATAATGCATTATAACTGTGGTTAGAATTACTAATGCGATCATACTGACCATAATGAGATTAATGCATTAAAAATACTTTTATATTGCATTATATATAAAGGCTTCAAGTAAAGTGATACCAAATGTTTTTTATGGATTAACTATAATAACTCTGCAACAGGGGAATTCATTCATGTCTCACTTCATGATGAATAATGAGTTTCTCCTCAACAGGCAGCGATGGCCAGTCGGGTCACTTGTCGGGTGTTGGCCATGGATCTCAGGGGTCACGGTGAGATCAAACTTCTAGCTTTAGTTTAGGTTTAACCTGCAGCAGTTACCCGTGTGCACTGATCTGACTAGTACAATCACAAACAGGTGCTACGCAGGTCCGGCACGCCGATGACCTCTCCACACAAACCATGTCCAGGTAAAACACGCACAGATATCATTAACAGGCTGTAGTATTCAGAGCTGACCAATCACCTCCTCTGCTCACAGAGACGTAGCCAATGTGGTGCGAGCGACGTACGGCGAGACCCCGCCCCCCATCATCCTGGTGGGTCACAATGTGGGCGGAGCCATCGCGGTGCATGCGTCCAGTGGACTGCTGCCCTCTGTGGTGGGGCTGGTGGCCATCGACGTGGTGGAGGGTGAGAAACACTGCGTCATCTGTCAATATGAACCAGCATCATCGTCAAAATGGATGCACTGATATCACAAAAAAAAGAAAACTACTACTACTTCTGCTACTA